CTTGTCTTCCCAGGTAGTGAAAGGAGGTACACGGGAGGGGTGTGTCTGACCAGCAGCAGAGAGACAGCCACCGGAGGCAAGGAGGCAGTCAGCTTAACACAACTCAGTAGCCAGTACAGTGTTGTTTCAAACTTTGGGTTTCTGACTCCAAATGGTTTATTTTAGGCATTTTTAAGCATCACACAATGTGGTGGAAACTATTCTAGTCATAATTAACTCAATGCTCTGTGCACAATGAAGCACACATAAATCATCTCCCTGAGGAGCAAAGTAAGCTAAATGCAGATCAGACGCGTCTACACTGAAACTCCTTGTGAAGTCCATAAAGAGGGGTTCTATAGATTGCCTGAGAAGAACAAATTTATGATAAGACTCTAAGGGAGGGTCCAGTACTGGAAAAGTGTCTAGCCACACAGAATGCAAAGGTCACCAGGCTAGAAAGCATGTCCTCTATGACCTTCTGGATGAATAGCAGGTTTTGCATCCCTTGAAGGAAAAACACTTTGTGATCAACCAGGTTCCCTAGTGCTTGTCTGTGAGCACAAAGATCCCTGCACCCCCTACGAGGCTGCTGATAACTGAGTGACTTGGCCATGGCCAGGCCAACACCTCACTGGAAGTTGTTCCTCTCTGTTGCATTGTCCCCTGGTGACAAGATGGCTAGACTGTCCCTCCCTGTTCAAAACACAGAGACATGAAGGACCTGGCCCCATCCTCTCTCACGAACAAATCAAAGACTGTCCCAGAAAATACTTTAGCCAGCCCCTGAGAAGTCACTGGCTGGAATCTGGACGAGCTGCCAAGGAGGTGAGGAAAATGAGCCACACGGTTTGGGGTATCTGAAGGACCAATCAGGCTCCATCAACAGAGACTGCGGATCTGGGTACTTCCCCAAATCTGTGTGACTATCAAAGGGAGTGAGGGCTGGATGAAGGCCACCAGGTTCTACTACATATCCTGTCTGTGTTTCAAGTTCCTTAAACACGTTCGTCAAGGCAGACATTAGATTAATGTATGGAGAAGATTTGTGTCAACATGTCTGTGTCTTATAGTCTCAGCACAGGCTCACATTAGAAAACCCTGGGCAAAGTTGGAGACATACTAGTGCCTAGAGTCAATGCATGAAGATTTTAATGTACTTGCTCCAGATTAATTCCTGGAATTAATTTTTTTTTGAGACAGTTTCACTGTGTAACAGCCTTGGCTGTCCTAGAACTAGCTCTGTGGACCAGGCTGGCCTTGAACTCACAGAGATTCACCTGCTTCTGTCTCCTGAGTGCTGGGATTAAAGGTGTGAGCCACCACTGAGAGACCAACACGTAGACTGTTTTGAGAACCACTGCTGTAGACACAGTGCCTTAGGAACAGGATCTGTTCTGCACCCTCTTCAACTCACACATGAGCATCAGGCTGACCGGAAGCCCTAACTGCATGAGGGAACCAAAAGTGGGGGAAGTTGCAGAGACAGCTCAGTGGTTAAGAGCACCTGTTGCTCTTAAAGAGACCCTGAATTCAGTTCCCAACACCCATATTCTCTTCTGGCCTCCTCCAGCGCCTGCACTCTTGTGCATATATTTCTCAACACACACACACACACACACACACACACGCACGCACGCACGCACGCACGCACGCACGCACGCACACACCCCACATCCCACACACACACACTTTTAAAAAAACAAGTAAATCTTCTAAAATGGCAGAGCATGCTTTCTCCTCTAATCTCTAGTAGTCTACACACGGTAGTGAACACTGTCTTAACTGCAGTTTCTTCTCCCCTCTGATCTCTCATTTCCTGAGCTCTGTGCTTGGCCTTCCTTTAATGAGCACAACCACAGTTCCAGGTGGCCTCCCCTATGGGCAGACTGCCAGCTGCTCTTCTAACTGCCATGTGGAACAGCCCAGTCTCACTCTGGCGTGGCAGACACCCTAGTCCAAGAAGATAACTCTCCAGAAACAGCCAGGCTCAGCCCTTGGGCTTTGACTCCTGCTGGAGTGAGAGAACGGCAGGACCAGGAGGTTTGCAAAGGCACTCCCATGCATCCAGTGGCAGAGTGTCTAGCCTTAATTCAAAAGCAACCCACACAGAACAAATGCAAACAAACAAACAACAAACATTTTATCTGACTCTTCAGACAGATGTGACCCTGAGAAGTGCCCCTGCTGACATCACAAGAATGAGTCAGAGGTGAATACATCCCCAGAGGTGATGACAGCTGGTATCCTGCTATCTGGTCCTAACCCCACCACACTTCTAAAACTGCTTGCTCCAAGGAAAGCCACAAGGATAGTCTCATGACATGTAATGTCCATAGCTCTATGAAAGTCCATGTCAATGCCTGGAGAAACCTCGGGAATGGGTTTTAAACTATTACTACCTTGAAATTCTTATGTTTTTAAACAAAAGGCCTCACGTTTCATTTTGCACTAGACTCTACAGCTGTGTGTCTGGCCCTGATCAAACAAATTCATACAACCTTGGGAGGCTAAGGGAGGAGAAGTGAAGTGTCAGTTCAAGACCAGCCATGGTGAGTTTATGGCCAGCCTGAGCTGCATAGTGAGACGCTGTCTCAATAATAATAATTGACTGGGCATGGTGGTGCTCGCCTTTAATCCCAGCACTCTGCAGGCAGAAGCAGGCAGATCTCTGAGTTCAAAGCCAGCCTGGTCCACAGAGTGAGTTCCAGGACAGCCAGGGCTACATAGAGAAACCCTGTCTTGAGAAAAAAAACACACACACACAATAATAATAATAATAATAATAATAATCTGACATCAGCCACCTTAGGTACAGTACCTCTCGCGTCTCCCTGCTCCCCTGTGACACCCCCACCCCTGTTTTCTTCCCCCTGTAGTGGGAGTGAACCAGAGAGTTCCACACAAGCTCTCTGACGGTCAAAGAAGCACCAGGTACTTACGTGTGGCATGGAGGGGAGAGAGAAGCCAGTGGGAATAGGAAGTGGTTGGAGAAGTTGGAGAAGGCTGTGGTCTTTGTCTGGTCACTGACATAATACGAGTCCAGTCATGTGCTGGGCCTCCATTTACCTGCCTGTGATCTGCGGGGGTTCCCCTGCATGGTGCCTTCTTTTGAGCTCCCAGCCATCACTGGAAGCACTAAATCCTGCACCAAGCTGGAGATGGTGTGGGGAAGACGCTACCACAGGTGGCCAGGCTGTGAGGTGGCCGCGACGTGGTCGGCTGGCCGTGGGCTAAGGCATTGGGTGGTTCATCTGCATCAGTGGCTCTCAACCCTCCTAATGCTGCAACCTAATGCTTAGTTTCGCCACTGGCACGAATCATAATGTAAATATGTGTTTCCCAGTGATCTAAGGTGACCCTGTGAAAGGGGTTGTGACCCCCAAGTTGAGAGCTGCTGCTCCACATGGCTTCCGGTCACCCCTGCCTCTGCAGAGCTTGGAAGGTGAGGCGGAGCAGGACAACCTGTCTTGGTGTTGTAATCATGAAGCCAGACTGTCCTGGGAGACAGCAATGAAAACAGCAGCATTTGCATTTCACCGCCACAAGCTCCCTCCTGTCCACTCCACCTCCTGGGGCCTCTCCACACTCTGCTTTGTTTGGACGCAAGGGCTCAGAGGCACACCAAAACACTGTGGCCTCAAATCCCTCCTTCCCACCACCCAGTGGACATCAGGAGAAGGGATGGAGTGGAGTGGTGGGGCCTGCAAAAGGCCTTAGGATGAAGAGGCCTTGAAGAATAAATAAGTTATCCTAGCCATCTTTGAGTCACAGTCATGGAGGACTCAAAAAGCCACCATATCAGGCTTCAGGAGCCTTCAAGAGCCTAGTGTAACCTCCTACAACAGCAAACCGAAACTGAACCACAGCGCCCCCTGGTGGTCAAGGGGTTTGCCCCTGTGAAGATCCCGGTGCATCCTCTAAGATGTTTCTGAGGAAGACTGAGGGCTCTTTGCTAACAAAAGGCCCCACGCGGCCTACAGAGAACACGGAACAGTGGGAGAAGGCTTGTGTTGCAAGTTGCTGAGGTGTAATTGCAGAGTGGCGCCCCCAGGGCAGCCAAGCAGACGTCCTTTTGGCCAGCCAGGCTCTGGACAAGTAAAGGAGGTTCTGGAAGGCAGTTTTCAGCAGCAGATAGAAGAAAGCAACCACTAAGTTGTGGGGGCAAGGAATGGAATCCAGGTCTGCTCCCACACACAGTTCATCAGGGTCTGGGATCTGCTCTCCCTTGGCATTGCCTGGCCAGGCCATGGCTCAGGTATCTGACACCTGGGGCAGAGAGTCACATGCCAGGAAACTCTATACACTCGGGCCCCAGGTCGCAGCTGCAGCAAGCAAACAGGACTTCCGAAGGAGGAAGTGGGTCTCCAGAGCCCACCGGCGGGTGGACTACTTCCGGGGAGAAAGGTAATAGCCCAGGAGAGTCCTCTTGCCACCAACCAGGTGAGAGGCAGGAGGGGAGGGGAGAGGAAGAGGAGCAGGGCCAATAGCACAGAGCTGGGGAAGGAGAGGGGTAGACGGTTCCTGAAAGGGGTTGGTGAGCATAGAAGGTCAGAAAGTACCTGTCACCTACTTAAATGGTCTAGCTGAACACCCTGGAGTCCTGTCACTAACCTGTCACTCTTGTCTTTACATTAGTGCCAACCAGACCCCCTGGTGTCTACCTGACCTCCCCCGCAGTCACACAGGTACGTGAAGGACAAAACTATTTCAAGAAGTAAAATTACTATAAAAACAGAGGCAATAGTCTGGGACCTCCCAGGCCCATCTCAACAAGGCAAAGGGACAAAGGGACCACATAGATTAACCTCCTAGAAACAATAGAACCTAAAAATGTCAACCTAAGGGATTCTTGCCCCTAGAATCCTGCTGAAGACAGACAGACAGACCTAGGGTTGGGGAAGACCCCAAAGGAGAGGTTCTGGCCCAAAGAGACACCACCAAGGGACTCGATCAGGAGAGCGCTCAATGGGACATAGTATCCTAACTTTGCTCTTCCCTCCTAGGGTCTTCGACTGCCCAGATTCTCCTCCACTCAAGGATTATGTTTATCTGTGACCATGCTCCTACTAGTTCCTCGCCTCTTGCCCCTCCTGCTGGTGATAGGCACAGGGGGTTCCGTGTCCAACCCTCACACACCGCCCCAGCGATGCTACATAGCCGAAGAAGCTGGCGAACAGACATTCCGCTGCAGCCAGGCTGGCCTGAGTGCGGTGCCCAGCGGCATCCCCAATAACACCCGAAAGCTCTACCTGGATGCCAACCAGCTGGCGTCAGTGCCAGCCGGTGCCTTCCAGCACTTGCCTGTCCTGGAAGAATTAGACCTGTCTCATAATGTCCTTGTTCACCTCTCAGGGGCTGCTTTCCAGGGCTTGGAGGGCACTCTGCGCCTCCTTGACCTCTCTGCCAACCAGCTAGCATCTGTACCTGTGGCAGCCTTCATGGGGCTGCAGATCCAAGTGAACCTGTCTGCCAACCCGTGGCGCTGCGACTGTGCCCTGCAGGAAGTGCTCAGACAGGTGAGGTTAGCTCCAGGCTCCGGGACAGGCATCGTGTGTGGTCCAGGAGCCCGCCCAGATCTCGTGGGACAGGAGTTCCTTCTGCTGACTAGGGAGGAAGAGCTGTGTGGGACAGGACGAGGTGGGACCCGAAGGAGCACTGATGTGGCCCTGCTAGTTACCATGGGAGGCTGGCTGATGCTGGTAGCGGCTTATCTGATCCACTATGTGTGGCAGAACCGGGACGAGACCCGGCGGCCCCTTAAGCGGGCTCCTGTGCAGCGCGTGCGCTCAGAGGACTCCTCCACCCTCAGCACAGTGGTCTGAAGCGCTGCGCTCTGGGCCCTGTGCGCTATCGTTCCTCTACTCCTACCACATCCCCTGCCCCATCTGCCCTCTTCCTGCCTCCCTCAACACCTTGTCTGAGTCACTCTTGTTCTCTTGCTTTCTCTCCCGTTGTCTTGCTCTCTTGCCCTTTCTTCTCCAGGACACTATCTTTGGAGCCTGGATTTGGGGGTACCTCCTTCTATGCCTGGATTTGGGGTACCTCCTTCTATGCCTGGATTTGGGGGTGCCTCCTTCTATGCCTAGGCTGTGCCAGACTCAGAGAATCCAAAGTTCCTGAATCCACAGCGTGGGTGTGGGAGTGGGAGTGGATGAACAACCATCCCAGTCGGCAGCAACTCAGAGGCAAAGCCAGTAGTTTAGGAGCATAGGGAAGGGTCTGGGCCTGGGCCTCGCCGTACAGATGTGGATAATGACGCCGAGTGCCGGCTTTAAGGGGCTAGGGAGATGGTTCAGTCAGTAAAGTGTCTGTCCTGCATGAGGACCTGAGCTCACATCTCTAGTGCCCACTTAAAAGCTGGACACAAAGCCAGGCATTGGTGGCGCACACCTTTAATCCCAGCACTTGGGAGGCAGAGGCAGGGGGATCTCTGTGAGTTTGAGGCCAGCCTGGTATACAAAGCTACACAAAGAAATTTGTCTCAAAAAAACAAAAACAAACAAACAAAAAAACTGGACCCAGGGTGGGTATCTATAACCCCAGTGCAGGTGTGGAGGGGGGAGGGACGGGAGGGTGGGAGAGAGACAAACAGATCCCTGGAGCTCATTGGCTGGCCAGCCTAGCCAATCAGTAAGCTACAGGTTCAGTTAAGTCTCTGTACAATGGCCAGAAATAAGGGGGGGAGCAATTGAAGAAGGCATTCCACAGCATCAACCTCTAATCTTCAGTTGCCCACACACACATGAACATGTATATACACCACACACACACACACACACACACACACACACACACACACGAACATGTATATACACCACACACACGAACATGTATATACACCACACACACACGAACATGTATATACACCACACACACGCGAACATGTATATACACCACACACACGCGAACATGTATATACACCACACACACAAACATGTATATACACCACACACACACACACACACACACACACACACACACACGAACATGTATATACACCACACACACGAACATGTATATACACCACACACACACGAACATGTATATACACCACACACACGCGAACATGTATATACACCACACACACGCGAACATGTATATACACCACACACACAAACATGTATATACACCACACACACACGAACATGTATATACACCACACACACACACACACACACACACACACACACACACGAACATGTATACACACACACAGAGAATGAGGGCTTTGGGAAGGAGAGAGGGGGTGTACAAAAGAGAGGTTGACATGAGGAAACTGGAAGCATGTGGTAACAACCCTGGGAGTGGGAGTGCGTGTGGAGAAGGGTGAGGCATAAGAACAAAGGCAAGGGCACAGCCTCACTGTACCTGGGCCTCTGGGCTCTTCCTCTCCGCTCCCGCTGCCTCCCCTCCTCCACCTCACTCCTTACCGCTCTCTCAACCCCAGGTGCTTCTCCTTGTGAATCATGGCCCCTGCTTCCTTCCCCAGAATTTCCCTGCCCCTCTCCCCTCCCCTTTATCCTCAGACAGTTTTCCTGCACTGTTTCCCTTGGAGAAAAGAGGGTCCCTTTAGAGACTGAACTAGGGATGGGTGACAATAATTTGGGGGCAGAGCAGAGACCCCAGAACATCATTGAGCAACTCAATTAAAAAACAAAACTTTTATAAACATCCTTGATCTCTTTCTCATTGTTCATTTTACTGAACACGTGTGGTCTGGCATGGAGGAGCAGAATGTGGAGCCCTAACCACCAACCTCCCACCTCTCTGTGGGGTGCTCCCTGCCTCTCTGTGGGGTGCTCCCTGCCTCTCTGTGGGGTGCTCCCACTCGGCTATGTGCTCACCCATCTCTCTTCCTGCTTTGGCCCCTGAATTCGAGTCCAACAGTAGGAGAACTAATTAATCAATTATTAATTAATTAACTAATAAGGATGGAACTGGAAGCATGAGGAAGTCAGAGACAAGGTGGCCTGGCTTCAGCCCTACCCTCAGCTCCGCCAGGAATCAGGGAGGATAGAACAAGTCCTAAGATGCCACAAGCCCTGTGAAGCAGGCGGGTAGCCTCACGGATGTTACACACTTAAGCTCAGCAGAAAGGAGAAAGCTAACCTTTCCCAAGGGACACCGTATGTCAAACTAACCTCTTCCACTTGGATGTACTGGAGCCCAATTGCCCAGTCTCTAACGCAAAATTCCAGATACCTGGAGGCAGACCCCACCTGTCGTGAACAGGCAACTTCCTGGAGCCGGCTGTCAGTGGAGAGGAGTAGAAATTGAGAAGAGACCCCCGAGCCTCCCCCCCCAGAGCCTCCCCCACCCAGCTTCACCTGCTCCTTCCTCAGAAAGCCCCAGGAAACTCAGACCAAGAAAAGAAAGTCTTCTCATCTGGGGAGTTCTGAACCTGATCAAGCTAAGCCATTCCCCAGACAAGACGGTTCTCCAAAGCCTCATTATCCCCAAAGGGGCTAGGTAGAGAGCAAGCCCAGAACACTGAAGCCTAGGCCTGAAGGGAAGTCCACAGGAAGTGAGAACAAGACTGGAACCCAACCTCCTGCTCTAGTGGAACATACACCCTTCCTGTCCACGGAATGGGATGGATCGTTGGGAGAGAGGAGGGTCGAGCCAGGGGCGCAGCTAAGAGGAAAAGAGGGTCCCGGCTTGAACCCACCAACCACAAGAAGCTTTAAAAAAAAAAAAAGCCAGAGCAGTTGAAGCTCAGATTGGACAAAGGTGTGGAGACACTGGACAGGGAGGAGAGATGAGGCCACGGGGACTCTCCACGCCAGACCCTGCCCTGACCATGATTTCCTTCCCAGGGGTGTCTAAGAAATAAAGGGAGACAGACAGTCCAGACTTCTTCTGTTCCTGGGAGTAGAGGGCTCTGTAATTTAACCATCTGTTTAGCTGCTGCAAGAAAGCACGGAGGCCGGGCATTGGTGGCACACACCTTTAGTCCCAGCATTTGGGAGGCAGAGGCAGATCTCTGCGAGTTCCAGGCCAGCCTGGTCTACAGAGTGAGTACCAGGACAGCCAGGGCTACACAGAGAAATCCTGTCTCCTTAGAAAAGGAGGAGGGGGAGGAGAAGGAGGAGGAAGAAAAGGAGGAGGAGGAGGAGGGGGAGGAGGAGGAGGAGGAGGGGGAGGAGGAGGAGGAGGAAGAGAAGGGAGAGGAGGAAGAGGAGGAGGAAGAGGAAGAAGCATGGAGACTAGAGTTTGGACCCCCAGAATGTATGTAAATGTTGGGTGGCTTACTTGTAATTACAGCATTAGAAGGTGGGACAGGGTCTCCCTGGAGCAAGCTGACTAGCTCGACTAGTATGGATGGGCTCTGAGTTTAACTAAGAGACTTGCCTCGATGAATAAGACAGAGACCAATCATCAAATACTCCCAATATCAACCTCAAGACTTCACAAGTACATGCAAACAGACACGTGAACACACATGCATGTGGGCACACCACGCACACACAGAAAAAGAAAAACCTTTTTAAAAAATCAAGAATTATTATACAAGGGCAACGAGATGGCTTGGTGGTTAAGAGCATTTGTTCTTGTAGAGGACCTGGGTTCAGCTGCCAACACCCGCATGGTAGCTCACAACCACCCATAATTCCAGTTCCAAGGGATTTGACACTTTTTTCCGGCCTCTGTGGGCATCATACATATACATGTGAGCACATACACGTATACTGAAGATAAAGCACCCATAAACATAAAATAAGTAAAGCTAAAAAAAAAATAGGTTTTAGCATCAGACATTGTCATACACACCTTTAATCCCAGCACTTAGGAGGAAGAGGCAGGCAGATCTCTGTGAGTTCCGAGACCAGCCTTGTCTACAAGAGCTAGTTCCAGGACAGCCTCCAAAGCCACAGAGAAACCCTGTCTCAAAACACCCCACCCCCACCCCCACCCCCCCCACACCAAAAAGTGAAAAGCAGATTTATGAAATAAATAAACGTGGTTTTTTATCATTATTCATGATGGATTAAGATGTCTCAGTACAGCGTTAGACCAGGTATAGTGCCTGTGGCCAGTACACAGGTTGTATGCCCATGAAGCCACTCCTGGTACCAAGCCACAGGGAAGGTGAAGCAGAGTATGACTTTGTTGTCTACTTCTCCAAGAAAAAGAAAAATATACAAACCCATCTACCTTTCCTTCCAACACACAGAGAGAAACATTCCCTTCCAGGAATTTCCTGTCACCTTCTCCTGGTGTGGGGTCAGTTGACTCCCAGTCCCACTACACACACACACCTTAACTCCAGCTCCAGAACTATCTGACAGTCCCCACTTCCTGAAGGCAGAGCACACCCTCTCTTTCCTTTACCTCTGCAGGACTGAGAGCAGTAATAGCTGCTGGCCACAACCCTGGAGACAGACCTGACAAACAGACGGACTAGTGTGGCACCTGGGTTATAGGATAGGCCTGTGATTACAAGGAGGACAAAATTGAGTTTGCGCTCATCTAGCTGTTGTGGCTGAATCCTGACACCCAGAGAGCATGGGGTACTTCAGGCCAGCCGGAAGGCTCCTTGTCCATTTCTGCTGAGACTCAAAGGCTGGAGGATCATCAAGCAAAAAGATGGAGCTGACTTTTACTTTGTTTGCTGCGGGTCACCTCTGAAATCGATGGCTCTCCAAGTGCAAAGCATTTTATGTGGGGTTTTTGGTCACTTGTTTTGTTTTCTCTCCAGTGCATATGGAGAGCATCCTGGACAAGAATGTCTTCCAGGTAGAGGCAGGGTTTTGTAGCTTCATGTCTAGATGCTCAACAGCATCTGGATGAGGATTTGGTAACTAAACCCTGGTCATGGTGGCAAATGTCTACAGTCCCAGAACTCAGGCTGAGGCAGAAGGATCAGTAGTTCAAGGTCAGCCTCAACTACATGGACAGTTTGAGGTCAGACTAGGCTACATGAGACACTGTCTAACAAAACAAAACACACAAGCAGACAAGCTTCTCTGTGCCCAAAGCCAAGAGCCTTGTCACAGACTTGCTGTCCCTAATATTTCCTCCATGTTTTGGGCACTGGCCAACAAAATCCAATCCACTCTCTAGATGTTCTGTCCTGCTGTAACTATGGTTATAGAAAGTAAATTGGAGCCTTGGGATGAGTCGGAGGGAGGGACTTTGGTTCCAAGCTTTCCTTACCTGGGGCCCACACTCTTCATTGAGAATGAGGAAGCTATGTCCCAGCAGGCAGGTCTAGCAATCTCCACCAGCCACAAGGTGGGCAAGATACCCTGATACCTGTCACTGCTGAATCATCAGGGGACTGGAAAGAGTAGAGGTCCTGGGGGGGCAACCAACAGAAGAAATTTCTCAGAGTTGGTGCTGATGCTAGTGGTAGTCTCTATGCAAACACGACAGAGAAGAGGCAGAAAAGGAGGAGAGGAAAGGAAAAGATGAAAAACAGCAAGTCAGCGTGGTGACACACAACCATAATCCCAGCGCTCAGGTGGCTGAGGCAGGGGAGTAGGGAGTTTGAGGCCACCTGCACTTTATATTGGGGGAAGTGGAGAAGGGAGACAGGCAGGGGGTGAGAAAAGGAAGAGGAGTACAGGTGCAGAAGCAAGAAAAGGGGAGAGCCAGGCGGTGGTGCCGCACACCTTTAATCCCAGCACTCGGGAGGCAGAGGCAGGCGGATCTCTGAGTTCGAGGCCTGGCTGACCGACAGCTTCCAAAACAATACAGAGAAACGCTGTCTCATAAAAACCAAAAAAAAAGAAAAAAGAAAAAGAAAGGGGAGAATCTGCACCCCAAAACTCTTGGCCTCCAGTGTGAGATATAAACATACCACTCCCGGGGCAGCTTCCCCCTGCCCCAGATTTTCCCTCTTTCCATCATGTCGTCATCTCCATCCTCTTTACCTCCTTGACTTGAGAAAGTCTGGGGATGTGTTGTGTGAGGAGTCACTGTCCTCAGCTGCTCTAGACACCCAGCACCCATAGCATGCTCCATCCATCCCTGCAAAAGCATTTCAGAACCTCCTCCATTCCCTGACTTGCAGACACCAGATTTCCCTGTTCTTGACAGGATCAATGACTCTAAACCGTCTGCTTTTCTTTCTTTACTCTTTGGCCCCTGCCAAAGGGAAAAGTTGGCAGCAATGAAAAGAAAAACAAGCAAGGAAATAAAGCCCTGTGCTATGTCTGTGTCTGTCCACAGAGAACTCTGCAACAGAAAGAGACAAATCTCCCAAAGAGCATGCAACTGGGGGACTTCCTCCTTTTCCCATTTACCAGCAACACATACATACATACATATATGCATACACACATGCATACATACACACACACATATATATACACACGCATGCATATATACATGCATACATACTTATGTATCAACATAGTCAGGATCAGGGTTGTGTCTGCTAGCACTTACATGAATTGACCACCAGAGGGAGATAAAGATCAAAACCTTCCACCAACTTCAGCACCAAGAATGCAACAGTTTCTTTCCGGTTTGGGGTTAAGCCAATTCTTCTGGGTTTGTTTGTTCGTTTGTTTGTTTTATCCTCGCTCTCCTTCTTCCTCTCACAGATCTCTGGTCTGGCCTCAAGAATTCTTTTTTTTGTTTTTTGTTTTTTTTTTTGAGACAGGGTTTCTCTGTATTGTTTTGGAGGCTGTCCTGGAACTCGCTCTGTAGACCAGGCTGGCCTTGAACTCACAGAGATCCGCCTGCCTCTGCCTCCCCAGTGCCAGGATTAAAGGTGTGTACCACCAACGCCCGGCTGACCTCAGGAATTCTTACAAGATCTGGAGAGATGGTCCAGTGGTTAGGAATGGGTACTGCTCTTTGCAGAGGACTTGAATCTGATTCTCAGAACTCACGTTACCCATGGTAACTCCAGCTCCAGGGCCGGTGGAGAAATGGCTCCAAAGGTAAGGGCACTTGCTAAGCAAGCTGAATGACCCGAGTGAGATTCCTGGACTCGACATGAAGGTAGAATAAACTACTTGGCTCCACAAGTTGTCCTCCGACCTTCATATCTTGACATGCAGGACTATCCGTAACACACACACACACACAGCACACAACATACAGTGCGCGCGTGCACACACACACACACACACACACACACCTGCTGTCTTTGATAACAAATAAACAAACTCCAGGAGGAGATCAGGCATGTAAAGAGGCCAGGGAACCCTGCATGCGAAGGGTAGCAGCCCTGGGACACACCTGAACATTCTTTTGTCTCCTGCTCCTTCCTCCCTTGAGCCCTCTAAGCCCAGTGCTGAAAATACCATTAGTCAGTCTGGGGAATGGGGCAACAAGGCGGAGACGCGGAGGAGTAGAACCAGAAGAGTGACGTCAGGCTGGAGAGACCTCATGAAGGAAGAGGCAGGGGAATGGAAGAAGCGAGACAGAGCCCAGAGGAAAGAACTGGACTAGGGCGGGGGGGAGGGGGGGGGGGCTCTGGGTCCTCAGGGAGAGCAGACACGGGTGTGACTTTACAGGGGCTCTGGGTCCTCAGGGGGAACAGACACGGGTGTGACTTTACTCAGCTGTTGCTTTGTAGATCTTTTAGAGATGAACGAGACAAGAAACCTTAGCCATCAGCCGCTGGAGGAGGGCAGACTCTAGGAAGTACCTCGCAAATGTCTGGCCCAGGTAGTGGCCAGTTGGGTTTCCCGGGGCTGATTGAGGGACAGGCGTCTGCCCGGCCCCCGGACTATAGATGACAGTTCAGACTCCTTACAGTGAAGTGACTCAAAGAGACAGAGGCAGAGGCAGAAACCTGGGGGGTCGGGAGGATAGGTTAGCGTAACACATAACCACATGTCTACATATGTGTGTACTCACATGACAGAAACCAGACAGCCATCCCACACACCCAAGCCCCCAAGCCTTCCTCTCCTGAGGGTGAGGGGCGGCTGGCAACAAGCAATGGCTACAGCTGTCTTAGTGGCTGATGGCTGCAGGCATGGAGTGGATTGGGAGGGAGGCAGGCAAAAGGATGCGGGGTGGGACCAGAGAGGCGGGGCAAAGCGTTTCTGTGCTGTGACACAGGGAAGAGTGCTGTGAGAACACCCGCCTGTTGAAGGGGGTTTGAGGAAGGAGAGTAATGAAGGGGGGTGTTTTGTTTGTTTTTTGTTTTTCTTTTCGAGACAAGGTTTCTCTGTGGCTTTGGAGGCTGTCCTGGAACTCACTCTGTAGTCCAGGCTGGTCTCGAACTCACAGAGATCCGCCTGCCTCTGCCTCCCGAGTGCTGGGATTAAGGAGTGTGCCACCACCGCCCTGCTGAGTAAGACAGTTTTTAAGAAGTTTTGTGGAGTATGAGATTGTCTCCTCATCCCTACCAGCCCCTAAGTCCACCCCTGCCTCCTCAGACATGTGTGTTCTGGCGCCAAGCTGTGCCTGTGTAGTCAGCACCAGTGGAGAGCAGTGGGAGCAGCAGGAAGATGCAGGATAGGTCCTCAGTGGCTCTGCTGTCCTGAACACAGATTTCTTACCGTTTATCACATCCACAGGCCTCAGATGAACCACACCTGCTTCCCGGTGGACCATGATGACAGCAGAGCAGAGATCCACCCCTGCTCACCCATACACACAAACAAGCACACTTACGGGTGAGCATTCACACACACAACCAACTCCCACTGCCTCCTGTGCCCCCCACTCCCCACCCCGCCAAAGCACCCACAAGCCCACTTGCAGTTGCCCCTCCCTCTCTCGATCCTGGTTATCCACTCCTACTCTGGCACCTGCCTGGCAGCTCCCTATCCACCCCTCATCTCTTAGGAGGCCAGGGCCCAGGGCCTGAGGCGGGGCACAAGGAACAGGTTGATGCTGTTCTGGAAGTGGAACAAAAAGGGGTGGGGCCGTTGAGACAGTCAGGGTCTGAGGAAGTCGCACCCCGCCTCCACAGAGGCATAAAGCAGCCTTCCTGGTGAGGGACAGCCATTCTGTCAACCTACAGACACAGCGAGCTCTGGGCCCTCCCTCCACACCCAGCTGCCGGATAGGACCCAGCATCTCTCCCTCCCTGGTAAGATCAATGACGGCAGGGGAGGCAGGGGGACATTCTGTGTGTCTAGGGGAAAGGTTGGAACCAAAAATGTGTGGGATTTCTTATCTTTTACTGTGGCTGTAAAACTCCCCCTGGATATCACTGGAAGTAGGTATCATACGGTCGGCTTCAGAGAGGGGCGAGGGAGGCGGCCCTTCAAATGCTTCTCTGGTGGACAGCATGGCCGAGGGCTGCTCATTTGGTCCCTGGAGGTTATCCTGTGTCATCCAAGGCCTTCTGGGAATGAGGGCTGAAAAGCACATTGGAGACGGCAGGATGGCCCCACACATCTGTGTCTGTACCTCCTGCCTCCCTACCTCCGTCAAGTACCACAAATAGGTGAGGTCCAGTCAGGTTCTGGAGGCACACACCTTTGATCCTAGCACTTGGGAGGCAGAGGCAGGCAGATAGCTGTGATTTTGAGGTCAACCTGGTCTACAGAGAGTTCCAGGAGAGCCAGGGCTACACAGAGAAACTATCTCAGAGAGAGAACAGAGGGAGGAAGGGGGAAGGAGGGAAAGAGGGGGAGGAAGGGGTGGGGAGGGAAGGGGAGGGAGGCCCATGGAGATAGCTGATAGGTCCACATCCACCCATCGGGATGACCTGGATGTGTCTGCTGGTTGCCCAGGTGACGAACCTGGACTTCAAAGACGAGACCTGAGATGGTGAACTTCAGGTCCTTGGACCTCACCCCAGCTTGTCTCCCAGGGTCATACTCACTCTTCCCTGGTGCTGATGCTGCAGAGGTGACTAAGCCCCACTTCCTGCCCCTCTGGGAAACCTCAGTAGGCGAGATGGGCAGGTGAACAGATGGTGACAAGATGAATTAGCAGGAGTTTCGGAAGTGGATCTACAAGGTGCCTTGGGAATACAGGCAGAGTCACCAACCCGCCCGAAGGAGTAAAGGGCTGGACGGCTGACCTGGACTGAGTCTTCCAGGATGAGTAGGAATTCTTCCTCACTGGAAAAGGGACACACTGTAAGCAGAAATAACAAGGGGAAAGGAGCGGCTGAGACAGAGCCTGGGGAAGCTGTCCAATTGCAGCCGAGTTGCTAGAAGGCAGGTGTGAGGGAGCAAATGTAACCTGGCCAAGGAAAAGGCAACTGGGAAGGTGCCAGCTCTGACTGCACAGGCCATTGGCCCCAGAGGGGGTTGCTCCCTCCCTCTAGTGTCCCCAGGTCCTGGATACAGCTGTCCCCCTAGGGTGAGAGGAAGCGAGGCTGACATGCCAACTGGGCTCTGTGACTGAAGAAATGAGCATGTAATAAGAAAAGAGTCCTTGACAAAGGGGAGTTCTTTCATCTCTCGACAGCCGTGTGAATTCTGGAGTCCAGGATCCTTCATCACCAAAAAAGGATTCCTTGAGTTCCTTCCAGGTCCAACATTCAGAAACCCAGGCCTCTCTAAGGTCTCCCCCAGCCCTAGGAGTGAGGCCTGGTGACCTACAGTGACCCCTCTTTACAAAGTCCCTCCTGAGTCTGGGTAGCCTCGGCAGCCATCTTGACATTCTGCATCCGTTTGTCCACAGAGACAATGACAATGTTTGAGAATGTCACTCGGGCCCTGGCTAGACAGCTGAACCCTCCAGGGGATCTGACACCCCTAGACAGCCTCATCGACTTCAAACGTTTCCATCCCTTCTGCCTGGTGCTGAGGAAGAGGAAGAGCACGCTCTTCTGGGGGGCCCGCTATGTGCGCACCGACTACACACTCCTGGATGTGCTGGAGCCCGGCAGCTCTCCCTCAGGTCAGCCTCTCCATAGACCTGGGCTCTAAGGGTTCCCGAACGACTAGGGCCAGCCGCCTGGACCACGAGGAAGACTCTGAAGGCCTCTCTTGCCTGAGGTGTCACCGAGGCCAAAGTTCTCACTGGGGATGGATGCGTCTCAGCTCAGCTCCTGTCTATTTCCCTCCTGCAGATCCTACAGATAGTGGGAACTTTAGCTTTAAGAACATGCTGGATGCCCGAGTCGAGGGAGACGTGGATGTGCCAAAGACAGTGAAGGTGAAGGGGACCGCAGGCCTGTCACGGAGCAGCACACTGGAGGTCCAGACACTCAGTGTGGCTCCCAAGGCTCTGGAGAGCTTGCACAAGGAGAGGTGAGAGAGGGTGGGGCTGACGGGGTGATGGCAGGGGGTTGGGCAGTGCATAGAAGATGCTCTGGACCACAAGTGGAGGGTAAACCCTCGCCCTGACCTTTCCCGGTGTGGTCTCCACACTGAGGACGGTTCTCATGGGAGGTGGGGGTGTAGCTCAATGGTGAGGTGTAGCAGGTGCGTGGGGATCCTGTGCAACTGTGGGTGCAACCAAGTCGTTTCCTAGACATTCTTCACGTCCCCCAGTCACCTCCCGTGTCATCTGTGTGTGTGTGAGAGAGAGAGAGAGGGAGAGAGAGGGAGAGAGGGAGAGAGGGAGAGAGAGGGAGAGAGAGAGAGAGAGAGAGAGAGAGGGAGAGAGGGAGAGAGGGAGAGAGAGGGAGAGAGGGAGAGAGGGAGAGAGAGAAGTAAGAGAGAGAGAGAGAGAGAGAGAGAGAGAGGGAGGGAGAGAGGGAGAGAGAGGGCGAGAGAGAGAGAGAGAGAAGTAAGAGAGAGAGAGGGAGAGAGGGAGAGAGGGAGAGAGAGGGAGAGAGAGAGAGAGAGAGAGACCTTAGAAAAGTCACTTCCCCAATTAACTTGTTTGGGTTTTTTCATTTTGGGGTTTTTGGGGGGTTGTTTTTTTTTTGTTTTGTTTTGTTTTGTTTTTGCTATAGAATGATGGGAATGGGTGATAGTTTCTAAGGTTCCTTCAACCCTAAGATTGTGAAACGTAGTGGAAAAGGCAGTGGTCAGTAGTAACTGTTTCTTATGGAGACTGTCCTGAGCTCTCTCCCATAAAGCAAGCTTTAGACCGGCTCCATCCACACACCTAGGGAACGCTGCCCCAGCAGACAGGGGTATGGCAGAAAGGATGTTCATACAAGGCTCTGGCACGTGTCTAGCTTGACCGGGGACCTGGCTTTTAAATAATTAAGTAGTGGTTGAAAGAAGCAGCTGAGGCCTGGAGGGGCCAGAAGGAAAGACTTAGATGTTTGACAAGTCACCCAGTAAACATCTGCAGCGTTCTCACTTAGAGTAAAACATCCTATTATGTGCTGGTGTACCTAGAATGCCTATGCCCAAGAACCTTATAGTGTAGAAGGGTGAAAACTACTGTGTGATTATCCAGCCCGGGAGTGGTGGGTAATTACCACTTTTAATCCCAGCACTCGGGGGCAGAGGCAGGCGAATCTCTGAGTTCAAGGCCAGTCTGGTCTACAGAGTGAGCTCCAGGATAGTCAGGGCTACATAGAGAAACCCTGTCTCTAAAAACAAAAACAAAAACAAAACGAGAGCAATTACCCAATACAAGAGTTGGTAAGTGCATGGGAAGCACTCAGTTAGACCTACTGTGGGGAGAGGGGCTCCTGACTGGGGAAGTAAGGCCAGTCCTCACCAAGTGGTGGTCGTGGGTTTAGGCTTTGAATGATGAGCATAAATGCAGAGAAAGAAGGGTGTTGCAAAGGCGTGCAGGTGAGATATCTCAAAACCAACAGGGGCCACGGAATAACAGATGCAAACGAGAGAAAGTTGTAGGGTAGACCTAGAGCAGGTAGGAGCCAGAACCTAGGTCAAGGAGCCCAACAAGTAGACACCAGGGAGACCCTGTATCTCATGACCAACCTGACAAGATGGGAGAAGTGCATTAGATAGGAGCAGAAACCTCAGGAAAGACACTGTCCCGCTGTCCATCAGAGGTATACGCTGAGGACACGAGCTCAGCAGTGTGGCCGGAATGTTTTAGGGAGGAATGGGTGCAAGGGTTGGTTACTGCAAAGGACAATGGAATGGATTTTTTTATAAAGATTTATTTATTTATTATGTATACAGTGTTCTGCCTGCATGTGTGCCTGCAGGTCAGAAGAGGTCACCAGGTCTCATTACAGATGGTTGTGAGCCACTATATGGTTGCTGGGAATTGAACTCAGGACCTCTGGAAGAGCAACGAGTGCTCTTAACCTCTGAGCCATCTCTCCAGCCCGATGGAATGGATTAAACTCAGCAGCTAGGTGCACAGCGATGGTGACAGTTTTGTTAAAGATGACTCTGAGTCTTGTCTTAGGTTGTGGCATTACAAGACATTATCGGTGATAAACAGGTGACAACCAGGAAGACAGGAGAGAGGCAGTTCTGCAGGGACAGTTGCCAACTTCTTCTGTGGCTCAGCTCGAGTTCCAGCTGACAATGGTCAAGGGGTAGCTGGGAAAGGGGCTGGAAGCTCAGAGAGGGGTCAGGATAAAGATGGACATGTAGCATTCAGCAAGACACAGGTCAAGATGGCAGGCGTCCGATGGGGAGACGAGGAAGAGGGAGAAGACTTAGAGAGAGGAGGCATACAACAGAATCTCGGGACTGCAGAGATGGCTCAGCGGCTAAGAGCACTTGCTGCTTTTGCAGAGGACCCAAGTTCAGTTCTAAGGACTCACACTGGGCAGCTCACAAGTACCTGTGACTCCAGCGCCATGGGATCTGATGCTTTCTTCTGCCCCCCCCCAACATGTACACATACACACACACACACACAACCAAAACATACAAAAGCAGACACAGGAACAGAGCCAAAAGGGGAACCTGCTCCTGGGCAGTAGGAGGAGAGGAGGAAGTGGCCATGAGGCCTCACGCCAGGCCAGGTGCTGAGCCTCCGGCTGTTTGCCCAGTTTATCTTGCACCTTGGGAGGTAGTTGGCGTCATGTCTGTTTTATAGATGAGGCAACACAGGCTCAAAGCAGCTGCCCTGCCAGGAAGCCCGAGGTCTGAGTTTGCACTGTGGTCTAATCTGAGCCCTCATTCTTCCCTGGCACCCTACTGTCTAGATGCTATGATTGACAGATTAAAAAGTAGACACTGCGGGGCACAGTGACACATGCCTTTAGTCCCAGTCAAAGGCAGGTAAATATCTGTGAGTTCAAGGCCAGCCTGGTCTACATTCCATAGAGAGAGCTCTGGACCAGCCAAGGCTGTATAGTGAGACCCCGTCTGAAAAATAAAATAATACAAACATAAAGCACCGACACAGGCCCTGGTGAGGAGATGCTGAGTGATGTCCCTATGCTTCTCCTGCCTCAGGAAACTGGCAGCAGATCACCCGTTCCTGAAGGAGATGCGGGATCTCGGGGAGAATCTGTACGTGGTGATGGAGGTGGTGGAAACCGTGCAGGAGGTCACTCTGGAGAGAGCTGGCAAGGCAGAGGGCTGCTTCTCCCTCCCGTTCTTTGCCCCGCTGGGACTGCAGGTTTGCTACACACACACACACACACACACACACACACACACACACACACACACACACACGGGAGGGGGGGGCTCCATTAACTGTGCCTGAACGGTGCCTACTCAGGACAGAGGACCTGAAAAAAAATATCCAAAGCCAAGTTGGCCACACACCCCCTGCTCTGTTTAGTGGTACCAAGCACTAAGGTCCCTGTTCCATATACCACAGACAATGTGGAGCAGACCAAGTGCTTCGGAGCGTGTCCTCATCCCCCTTCCCCCCAGCCCAAAGCTGAAGAGCAGAGCTCTGGCTTGGTTTGGTGGTACTAGTAATCCCAGCACTCTGAGGGCAGAGGCCAGAAGGGTCACAGGTTCTAGGTCAGTCTGGGCTACCTGGTGGGACTCCACCCCCCCAGGTGTGGGCAGCTTCTTGCTTTCAGAAAAAGTCCTTACTTATAGATGGGACACACAGTTAAAGCGCGGAGGATGTAGGCTTGGAAAACTCAGTAGAAGTAAGAGTATCGCTTCTATCTATATAAACATCGAGTGAGTGTATTCGTGAGCGATGGTCTGGGATTGGGAGCCAGGGCAGGAGTTAGTCATGGAAGACGTCCTGAATGAGCTAAGGATGGGGCAGTTGGTGTAGAGGAGGCAGGAACCGGGGCAGAAGGAAGCTGGGGGGTAGACAGGATGCTGCACAGGCAGGTGATGGAGCAGGTCTGCCCAGTGCCCTTCTCCTGTCCAGACCAGCAGCAGACGCAGCGTGGTGGAGGGCGAGCACTAGAAACAAGTGGGAAGGCTTCAAGTCCAGACCACAGAGGAAGACAGCTGGAGGTCCAGCTGGAGGCTTTCCAACCGCTGGTCTCCTCAAGGCTCTCAGACCCGGCTCCACTGCTGCCCCTGCTCTCAACGTCGCCTACTTGGGATCTCAGAGGACTCACGGACCCTCACTCTGTAATCCTAGGGATCTGTGAACCACAAAGAGGCTGTAACCATCCCCAAGGGCTGTGTCCTGGCCTTCCGAGTGAGACAGCTGATGGTCAATGGCAAAGATGAGTGGGGTGAGCAGCGACCAGCATGTTCCCCCCCTCCAGATAAAGGTTGCCTGCATCCGCGCAGGGGCATCTTGGTCCTCTCTTGCAGTGATGTGAGGGGGTGGGAGAGGAGGCAGCATACTGTATTGCCCATCGCTGGAGACAGCAAAGGCTGCTCTAGGGAAGGAGGGGAAGGAACTCTGACTTTCAGGTGTCTCTGGGCACTGGGGAAGCTGTGGGGAGTGACACAAAGGCCAAACCAGCACAGCCTCTGACCCCAGGAGGCCCAGGGAGGAGACAGATCCTGACACCAGTACTGGGTTTTCAGGGGAGAAAAATGCTATCACAGGCAAGAACTTACAAGTCCCAGTAGTAAGGGTGGGGTAGAGAATTAGACAGGGCATTTGAGGGGTAGAATCTAGCCCTAAGCAGAACCCTTGGGCTTGAGGCTGAAGAAGGAGGGGTGTGGCAGCCAGTGGGACCTCTTGGGTGTCTTTTCTTGTCTATTACAGACATTCCACACATCTGCAATGACAGCATGCAAACCTTCCCTCCAGGAGGTAGGTGCCCTGTTTACAGGTTTGCCTCGATGTTATCTGCTAAAATCTCCCACCCTCTAACAGCAGCAGCTCCTATACCTCCCCGCAAGAGCATCTGCTCTTATTTTTTGGGCCCTCAGACAGAGACATTGAATATAAATACTGCCCTAAAGAGACAAAGAAGCCGGGCGTTGGTGGCGCACGCCTTTAATCCCAGCACTTGGGAGGCAGAGGCAGGTGGATCTCTGTGAGTTCGAGGCCAGCCTGGTCTACAAGAGCTAATTCCAGGACAGCCTCCAAAGCCACAGAGAAACCCTGTCTCGAAAAACCAAAAAAAAAAAAAAAAAAGAGACAAAGAAACAGAGGCCAGAGGCACAATCAGAAACAGAGATTTGGAGACAGGGTGTGTTCCAAAGTCTTGACAGTGGCTTTAGAGAAAAGTAGCAAAGAGTTTGTTCTGACAGATGTGCTCTGTGTTTTCAGAAAAGCCTGGAGAAGAGAAGTTCATATGTAAGTGTCCCTATCTTTTCCCATCTTTCTTGACTCAAGTCCAAATCTCTCATCTTCCTCCCTTCTCCGTGGAGCTGACAGGGGAGATAGTGGGATGGGTCCCAGCAAACAGCAGTGCCTCAACTATGGCAGAACTTCCGACAGGAAGTTAGGAAAAAGCCGTGGAAGGGGTAGAACTGTGGACAAGATGTACAGGAGTTGGCTGCCTCAGACCTTTGTTGTCAAGGGCCTCAGTAGCTGCAACCTGTCCCACGCGTATGTGCTGTCCAGTAACTGGGACAGCAGGTGCTTGCTGAGTCACTCAGTTGCTGGGTGACTCCATCCTGTCTGAGTGCTGTTTCACATTGTATCAGTTCTTCTGCTCCATGACGGCCACCCAGGCATGGAGCAAGGAGATTCTGAAGATGGCTGGAAGCTCCAAGGGGCGGTGCTTTCTCATCATCTCCAGAGCCTAGTTGCCTAGGGATGGCTGCCATTATGAAGGACTGTGCTCTTATCTGTCTGTTTACTTCTTATTTTCTCAGTTATCCAGGCATCTGATGTTGGTAAGGAGTTTGGGGAAAGCTTTCAAGACTTGGCTACACAGGTAGGGAGAGAAGCATTAGGGTGGAAGGAAGAGGAAAAAAGCCAGGTCCTGGGATGAGAGAGAGCCACTCCCAGGAAGCCGCTCTCTAACACAGACTGGGTGAGGTTTTAGGATGTCAGGGTGCAGCTCACTGCCTGCCCTGGATACGGACCCTCTCTGCTCTCTGAAGCAGTCCCAGCCGACCTGTCACTAAGTAGTCAAAGGTATCGTCTCCACCAACTTAAGAGAAGGGGGAATAGGTTTCCCCTAAATGCTTGGCTGGAGGGGTTGAAAACAGAAGTCAACTGTGCCCTGATGAGGGATGAAGCTGGGGGGAGGGGGAGTGGGGGGTGGGGGGGAGGGCAGGGAGGTGTGGTTAGCTGTCCTGTTAGTTGACTGCATGCTTCATGCAGAGGCTTTAGCATAACTTCATAACACACCTTGGTAAAGAGGAAACGCCATATTCAAGCCGGAAGCAGGGCACTGGGTCCTGAGGAAGGTGTGACAGAGCCTACAGAGAGCACGAACGGGGTGGGAGGGGCCAGGTGAAGGGCTGTCTGCAGCATCGACTGTGCCCCTAGGGGAGATGCACGAAGACTTCAAGACATTAAAAGAAGAGGTTCAGAGAGAGACTCGAGAAGTGGAGAAGTTGAGTCAAGTGGGGCAGAACTCCCTGCTCAGCTCCGTCAGCAATCTCCTAGGAAAGAAAAAGGAGCTCCAAGACCTGGAACAGACGGTGAGGTCCCACTGGGGACACAGGAGTGTCTGGGTGGTGGCGGACCATTGCGGGTGGGGACGGGGAACTGACAATGGCAGAGAGGCCGGAGGTTATGGAATCCATAGCAGATACTTTTCCAAGGCTGGTTAAGTGTACCCAGGCCCCCTGGAAAGAGCGTCGGTAGAGTTCTTGGAAGTCGTGTGCGCCCTTCAATGGTTAGAGGTTAGCAACAGGCCATGGCGCCCTCTGCTGGATAACAACTTGAACCTTCCAGCGCTCAAAACTCGGGGACCAAGAACCTGACTACACAAAAAAGAAATAGGAAGTGGGAGAGAGTCAGCCTGAATCCCGAGACTGTTATGTGCCATGCCGGGTGCTGGGTTAGACGTTGACCTGAGAAGTTAGTCATCCATTTTTCCTCACAGCTTGAAGGGGCTCTAGACAAGGGACATGAAGTGACCCTGGAAGCACTCCCCAAAGATGTCCTGCTGTCAAAGGATGCCATGGGCGCAGTCCTCTATTTCCTTGGGGCTCTAACAGGTGGGTGAGACATGAGTTAGGCAGTTTTCTCCGTTATAAGAAGAAATCGTGTGGCCGGGCGGTGGTGGCGCACGCCTTTGGTCCCAGCACTTGGGAGGCAGAGGCAGCCAGATCTCTGTGAGTTCCAGACCAGCCTGGTCTACAGAGTACAGAGTGAGTTCCAGACAGGCTCCAAAGCCACAGAGAAACCCTGTCTCGAAAAACCAAAAAAAAAAAAAAAAAAAAAGAATAAATCGTGTGAATGGCTTCCCAAATGAATGATTGAGTGGATGCCAGATGGTTTATACTGCAGTAGTTTATGCATACGTTTTTAAAAATTTGGTTCCAGCTGGGTTTGTAGTTCAGCATGACGGCACTTGCTTAGCATACACAATGCTAAGGGGCCCTGAGTTCAGATCCTGGTACTGGAGGGAGAAAAAATAATCACCACCATTGGTTTCATTCCTAGGGATTCAGACGGTTATTTATTTATTTATTTATTTAACTACACATTGAAACCTTCCGCATGGAGCTAAGTTCATCACTCCCATATTGCTGCCTGCTTGTTAGCTTTAACTTCAGAGAGTAACCAATCATATGACTGGCTCAGTAAGGGCTCCTGCTGCCAAGCCTGACAACCTGAATGCAATTCCTGCATCTGTCCTCTGCTCTCCACACACACATCATGGCATGCAAATGAGTGTGCGTGAATGCATTCATGCACATGGGCATTCGAGCACACACACACACACACACACACACACAATGTGGGGGGGAAGCCAGACATGGTGGTGCACACCTTTAATTCCAGTACGTGGGAGACGGAGGCAGGTGGATCTCTGAGTTCAAGGCCAAACTGATCTACACAGTGAGTTCCATGTCGGTCAGAGCTACACTGTTATCAATAAATAAATAAAGTGGAGGTGGGAAAAAAGAAACTTTCTGTCAAATGCCAAACCCAAAGGAAACCTCTCAACTATGACGCCCTTAACACCCTGGGTTGTCACCACTGTGGTGGCTCATGCCTACCATCCCACGACTCAGGTGGCTGAGGCAGGAGGATCACTGCGGGTCTGAGGCCACCTTGCATTACAGATCCTGCCTCAAAAACAAACAAAAACCACGGCTTTTTGTCTTCTCCACAAAACTGCAGTGAAAGATTAGAATTTGGATTTGCTGTGTTTTTTTTTGTTTGTTTGTTTGTTTTTAAAGAAAATCTCACTATACAGCCCTGGCTGGTCTGGAACTCACTACATAGAACAATCTGGCCTCAGACTTGCAGAGATCCGTATACCCCTGCCTCCCAGATGCTTAGATTAAAAGTGTATGTCAAGGATCACAACTTTTTATTTAATGACCAGCAAAGGTGTGTGTTACAGAGCAGGCGTTCAACTGTGGGTGGATGGATGGATGGATGGATGGATGGATGGATGGATGGATGGATGGATGGATGGGTGGGTGGGTGGGTGAATGGATGGGTGGATGGATGGATGGATGGGTGAATGGATGGATGGATGGATGGGTGAATGGATGGGTAGATGGGTGGGTGGATGGATGGATGGGTGAATGGATGGATGAATGGATGGGTGAATGGATGGATGGATGGACTGACAAATGAACAGATGGGCAGGTAGATGGATGGATTCATTGATTAGAGGGTGCAGGAATTCTGTAACTTCACTATTTGGAGTCTGTGGTTCCCTCTGTACCAACAACACATTTTTCTTCCTCTGTTTTTCCCTCCAGTGCTAAGTGAAGCCCAACAGAAGCTTCTAGTAAAATCCTTGGAGAAAAAGCTCCTCCCAGTGCAACTGAAGCTGGTGAGAAATAGCAACAGATGCCAGGGAGGGGGCAGCTAGAACCAGAGGGAACAAGCCAACTCACAGGGGTCCCTGCCTTATTCTAGGAGCCCTAGATGTTTAGGGTAATCAGCCTGCCTTCGGGGGAGGGGTTCTGGTTCCTCCTTTTCATGTCACTTTGATCCCTTGCAGGTTGAAAGCACCATGGAACAGAACTTCCTGCAAGATAAAGAGGGTGTTTTCCCCCTAAGGCCTGACCTGCTCTCCTCCCTCGGGGAGGAGGAACTGACCCTCACAGAAGCCCTAGTGGGGCTGAGCGGCCTGGAAGTCCAGAGATCAGGCCCCCAGTACATGTGGGATCCTGACACTCTCCCGCGCCTCTGTGCCCTCTACGCTGGTCTCTCCTTCCTTCAGCTACTGAGCAAGGCTTGCTAATGGCCTTTCTTGCTAAGTCCATCTCCCGATACTTACTTAAAGCCTAAAGATACAGAATCTTTTAATCAAACTCTTTGCAAATTTAAGCCATTTCAATAAGAAAAACAAACAAGCAAACAAACATCAATTTCTTAGTGGAATCCTTCCTACTTCTGCCTCAAAAAAAAAAAAAAAGCTATCCTTACTGGAATGAATGAAAAAAAATGATGTAGATCCTACGACAAGCTATATTGTTGTTTTTTTCTGTAAAGGGAATCATTACTCTGTGCCGGTAAAGAAACAGACATTATCCGTATGTGTATGATTTTGCTCGAACTGTCCTCAGGTTGGCAAGAAGATGCTTCACGAACCCAGCGGGTTAGAACACACAATGTCCGCTCTGCATTGAGAAGCTCATCAAAACAGCAGGAGTTTACCCGAGAGCCCAAGTTCTCTAGTCCTGCTTGAGGGCTTGGGAGAGGGAAAGGTCTAGAAGTGTATGATATAAGCCCCAAACAAAACAAAAACTTTCAAGTGGGTTAAGTAAAAACTGCAGGTGATCATAGTGAGACCCTGTGTTAAAAAATTTTTTTAATTAAAAAAGAGGAAGAGGAGTTAGGGGTTGGTGGTGCACACCTTTAATTTCAGTGCTCAGGAGGCAGAGATAGGTGGACCAGAGGTAGGTGGATCTCTGTAAGTTTGAGGCCAGTCTGGTCTACAGAGAGTTCCAGGACAGGCTCCAAAGCTACACAGAGAAACCCTGTCTCAAAAAACCGTGGGGGGGGGGCCCTTTGAGGGTCAATCGACCCTTTCACAGAAGTCTCCTAAGACGGTCGGAAAACATAGAGATCTACATTATGATTCATAATGGTAGAAAAATTAGCGTTATGAAGTAGTAACTAAAAATAATTTTATGGTTCGGGGGGTCACCATAACATGAGGAACCACTATATTGAAGCATCAAAGTGTTAGGAAGGTTGAGAGCCACTGCTTAAAATGATTCTTCCTTTCTTTCTTTCTATCTTTCTTCAGCCCTCACTTCAGGATGGGTGTGGGAGGAAATAGTACACATGGCTTGGCCTGTATATCTTAATCTCATCAAATTTCTGGGTTCACATCACGCTCTGCCTAAAGAGGGTTTGGACACCTGTCATCAGTCTTATTTATTTACACTTATGTTTTGGGGGTGGAGAAGGTGCATGTGTGCCGTGCCATGCTTTTATGAGTCAGAAAACAACTTTGGAGAGTTGGTTTTCTCCTACCATCATGTAGGATCAAGGGACTGATGTCAATCACCAAGCTTGGCAGTGAGGAAAACCATCTCACCAATCCACCAGTATCTCCATCTCCTCTTCCCTCACATGGATGGGTATTTTGCCTACATGTATATATGTGTACCTCTTGCATGCCTGGTGCTCTTAGAGATCAGAAGAGAAGTTTGGATCCCTGGAGGAAAATGGAGTACAGATAGCTGTGAGCCACCGTGTGGGTGCTGGGCTCTCAGACTCAGGTTCTCTGCAAGAGCAGCCAGTGCTGTTAACCTCTGAGTCATCTGCATCACCCTGTACCACCCGCCCACCCACCTCCACATCAATCTCCTTTAAAGCATTTAGGAGTACAATGTATCTCCAAGGTTTCAGGCCCCCCTGAAGTCAGTATCTCCCACTTCTTACCGCCCTCCTCTTCCAAGCCAGTTCCTCCACACAGCAAGAACTCATGACCAAAGCTGCCAAAAGCTTCGTGTGTAACTGTCCTCCTCCATTCTTGGCATCTTCGGAAGCCCTCAGGTTCTGCTGCGTTCTTCTCTGCTGACTTGGTCATCCTTTCCTTGTGATGTAAACTTAATAGAGAGGCGAGCTGGCATCTCAACTATCCAGAAAAATAACTTCTTTGATCGGAAGGATGAACAACAAAGCTGGTCTGTCCCACTCACCTGCAGTGCAGGATGTCACAAGGGTCCTTAATAAGTTTATCCCTATCTCATTAGAAAGCCCTGTTCCCTGTTCCCCAGCCCTGAGGAGGGAAGGTGAGAAGACAGTTTGGGACAACAGGTCCAGGTGTGTGACCTAAAACTGGAGCACACATTCCTGTTTGGCAAGTGACAGGCAAACAGAGAACTTTTTGTCCCAATAGAATAAACATAAAAATGACACAAGAGATAAGTAGGGACACCAGCAAGGTGGCTCAGTAGCACTTGCTGCGAAGCCTCATGGCCTGGCTTCAATTGCCAGGCCCCACATGGTGGGCAGAGAGAATGGACTTCAGAAAGTTGTCCTCTGACTTCCTCACATACACTGTGAAGAGAGTGGCCCCAACTAACTAAATAAATACAAGTTTAAAGAAAGATATGCAGCTGCCAGGTGTGGTAGGGTAGATAACAATCTAGTTGCCTTTTATCCCAATACTCTGGAGGCAAAGGGTGAACCCCTATGAGTTACTGGCCAACCAGGGCTACATAGTTGAGTCTGTCTCAAATATATATATATATATATATATGTCCTAAGGATTTAGAAATATAAAATAGGAAATAGACATCTGTGTCTTCTAAACCCTTGTTAGAGCATGTGCTGAGCCAGGCCCAGCTCTGTTTACAGAGATCAGGTTTCCATGCTGGAGTTGTTTGGTGCTTTGAGAAACTGACCCCTGTATCTTCAAAACCAGTGCTGAAGGAGTCCTGTGGGAAAGGAATGGGAAGGCTTTCTGGTCCAGTTTTCTTCCATTTGTGTGTCCCAAGGAGGCCATCATTCCGCCCCCATTCACAGGCATCTGGATGTATAAAGGCCTCCACAAACTGCTCCCGAGAGCCCCTTGGCAGAGACTCCACCCTCTTCCTCCATCCCCACAGCACTGCATCCCAAGGCAGAACATGTGGAGTGCCAACTTCTTTCTCAAGGTCCCTATGATACCACCCTTTCTGTTTTCATTAGAAAAGATGACAACTTTGTGCAGTCAGTCAGTTCCCTCCTTCCACCTTTTCCTGTTTCCAGGAATGGAATTCCTGAGTCCTCAGGCTTATGGCAACACCTTTATCTACTAACTCACCTTGCTCTCCGGTTGCTTTGAGTTTTTGAGAAGGCAGCAAACATTCACACTTTTCTGGAACTCTGTAACCCAGGCTAACCTCCATGTAATGACAATTTTCTCAGCCTTCTAAGTGCTGGGAATTACTGGAGTGGAGCATAGTACCTGACTGGTACATTACAGGCTCGCTCTCGCTGTCTCTCTCTCTCTCTGCTCCTTCTCCTACTCCTTCCCTCCCTCCCTATTTTTTTAAAGACATTTTTTAATGGGAGCATGCCACAGCATGTTTGAGGAGTTCAGAAAACAACTTGTGGGACTCTTTTCTCTCCTTCTACCATGGGACCCAGGTATCAAATTCATGTCTTCACACTTGGTGGCAAGTGCCTTTATCCCCTGAGTCATCTCGCCAACCACATTATTATTACTATTACTATTATTATTATTATTTGAGAGTCTTATTATGTAGTTCTGGCTATCCTGGAACTTGCTGTGTAGACCAGGCTGACCTCAAAGTCAGAGATCAGCCTACCTAGTGCTGAGATTAAAAGTGTTTACCAGCACATCTGGCCCTACATTACATTCTTGAGCTGGGTTTTGCAATGATCCTCTACGTACTGGCCCTGAGCCATACACAACTATTAAATTTGACTAATTCTACACAAATACACCCAACCCCAACACACTCCCAGGCTGCAGAGGTGATGTGCCTTATATTCAACACTATGCAAAAACTTGACAAGAACCGGGCCGTAGTGATGCACACCTTTAATTCCAGCACTCGAGAAGCAGAGGCAGGAGGACCTCTGTGCGTTCGAGGCCAGCGTAGTCTACAGAGCCAGGCTCCAAAGTTACAAAGAAACCCTGTCTCGAAAAACAAAACAAAATTTAACAAGGAAGTTCCGATGCCACAGGGGTTGAGCTCAGTTCAACCTAACAACCTAGCTACAAGTATACAGGCTCCTTTTCTTCCCGGTGATGGAAGCACCCGGCGGGCGTTGAGAGCGCGAGCCAGACAGATTTCATTGAGGACCTGACCTGAGCAAACCGGGAGAGCTTGCCAGGCGGACAAGGAAAAAAAAAAAGCCCGGCAACTTGTGATGTCACCTGGATCTGCGCTCAGATAGGCCCTGCCCACTTACGTATTGGAGTCTGTGGTAGCCCAGATTGGAGCCTAAGCGGACCTCTCGCGGACATCCAGAAAAATGCCCTCGAGAGGAAGATAAAATCGCCTCTCTTAAGCGCCACAATTTCTTGCTCACTCCTCCCCCTTCCTAGAAGGTCCGCCTTCATCGTGCACCTCGGCTGTTGATTTCTTTCCCCTCCCTAGACTCGGTCATCCGCTCGCCGGGCCTGGCATTTCCCAGAAGCCCCAGCGCCGGGAAGGAGTTTGCAGCTGCTCGGTCATCGTGCGGCCCGACGCGAGCCCGCGCTGGTGTGCAGGCCCGTCTCTGTGCCTGGTCTCTGGTGTGAGGGTGTAGGCGAGGCCCCTGCCTCGGTCCCCGGACTAGGCCGCGACCCCGGGCGCCATGAAGCAGGAGGGCTCGGCGCGGCGCCGAGGCGCCGACAAGGCAAAGCCGCCACCGGGAGGGGAACAAGAACCGCCGCCGCCGGCCCCCCAGGATGTGGAGATGAAAGAGGAGGCAGCAGCGGGGAGCGGCTCAACGGGGGAAGGAGACGGCAAAGCAGCCGCGACCGAGCACTCCCAACGAGAGCTGGACACTGTCACCTTGGAAGGTACGGGAGCCCGCGTCTGGGACGTGCCGCGATCACGGGTGACAGCGGCCACGGTGATGCGACTTCTACCCGGGACCTCCGCGCAGCCTCCACCTTCCTCGGTTCCGTGTGTTCGGTCAATGGGGCTGGGGTCGGAAGTGCCCGCCCTGCCACCCTGACGCTCTCGACCCCAGCCGGCGACTGCTGAACCTGTTCTCCAGGCTGCGGATTGCTCTCCTCACACTCCCTCTTCTCATGTGGGGTTGCATCTTGGTCTCACCGAGCCTTTTCCTCAGTCCTTCCCACTGATCTACTCCAGTACACCCTATCCAACCGATTCTAGCGCCTCCGAAAGATTATTGATCTATAGAAACCAGCGTTTGTATTTGAGTCTAACATTACACTGGCCCCTTAGTTAAGAGTTTCTAAAGGGTTCTGTAGCTCCATCTTCAGCGAACTCCCTAGGAGAACCATTTCTGCCCTGTGCTGCTTCCTTACTTCTGTA